TGACTCAATTTTGACCCAAGGCACTGAAGAGTTGGGTCCAAAAAAGTTGCCATAGTGAAGCGTGAGTCGCGGTCACTAAAATGTCTTGGGCAGGCCCAATAATTGACGACATGAGAGAAGAAGAGTCGAGCTGTATCTTCTGCTGATATATATTGTGGGGCTGCAATAAAGTGGCATACTTAGAGAACCGGTCCACCACAACCTAAGATGTTTGAGATCTCCGACGTGGGCAATCCGGTTTATGAAAATCAGGATACGCTTTCCCAATCTCTTTGGAAACAGCAAGTGGTTCCAAGAGTCCCGCTTGTGTCAAGCGGTGCGACTTGTTCTTCTGGCATCAAGTCTTCACATACTGAGCGATATGCATCGGTCCATTTGAGGCCAATAATAGCACGACGAAGTAACGCCATGGTGCGTTCTTCAACCAGGATGCCGGCCCACAGAGTTCAATGACATATCCGTTAGAAGAGTCTCCGGCAAATTCTCCTCGCTTTAGGAACATAAAAAGTCGGTTCCCTTTTACTTTCAGAAACCATCTTCCATGTATGAAACTGCGAGTCTGCCCTGTCCTACCAAATCAACCAAATACTGAGCAGCAGGCATCCTTGATGAGTAGATCCCGTATTTGGTCCTTAGGATGTTGGCTACCCTCGCTCCCCCTTAGGGTGGCGAGTAGGCACACCGATGCTAGGTCAGCTCTCCGACTGAGCGATCAGCAAATGATTGGTCTTTCCACTGCCGAATACTCCAATTGAAGTGAATTCAGCTAAGAGTTTCCTGCCACCTGCCTGTCGACCATTCAGCTTCGTTGATCTTGAAGATGGCTAACAGCTGTGTTGTCTGTCTTGACCACGAACGGGTCCCAGCAGATAGTGCCTCCAAGAGACGCAAGCATGGACGGAAGCCAATAATTCTTTCTCATGGGCCGCATAGCGCCGCTCTGCCATCCTTGCAGGCGTTCCGACTCTCTACGCATACAGGGTGCCCTTCTTGTTAGCAGGGACATCCACGAGTGCATAGTCAGAAGCATCTGTTTGTACCTCGAACGCTTGGCCAAATCAGAAGGGCCAAGACGGACTACTAGACATAGCCGCTTTACTGCGTTGAAGCCTTCTGTCTCCTTTGTCCCAACATCAAGGTGTGACCTTCTTTGAGGAGTTCTGTCAAGCACTGCGATAAATGAGTAGTTCTTCACAAACCGCTGTAGAAGTTGCATAGGCCAAGAGACGCCCTCAAGGCTGGACAGTCCTTAGGTATCGGCCAAATCGTGTGATGGCCTGGGATCTTTGCTGGGTCCATCTTGATGCGTCCTTCCTCGATGACAGGTACCGGAAATCAATTTGCTTCTGAGCAAAGGAGCCACATTGGACCAAGCTTTACATATAGTTCATGTTCTCGCATCCGTGCTAGGACCTTCCGCAGCGTGTACCAGGTGTTCTTCAAGTTGTCTGGCTAAATACCACAATGTATCTAAGCTAGACCCCACAAATTCGTCGATGTACTCTCCGAAGACTTGGTTCATGAGAGGCAAAACGTCTATAGCAGGGCGTGTTAAGCCGAATGGCATGAACCAGGAAGTCGTGACGACCATATCTTGTCACACAATTCGTCTTGTAGTTCATCAACCCTCTGCAATCCGAACTTGCCAATAACCTTCTTCAATCTATCTTTGTAACACCGTAGCACGCCCAGTCTATCAAACAGTCCCATTTAGGGAATGAGACTTGTTCTTCACGTGATTTTTGTTTAGAGCTTCGGATAATCCACACAGAGTCGCAGGCTGCCATCATGTTCTTTTGAAAGAACAGGGGACCCAATGGGGACTTGGAGGTACAATGATCCCTGTATCAAGCATTTTCCGTCAATTGTCTCCGAAGCTCGGTAGTTCGGGTTGTGACATTCTGTAAGGCGCCCGGGCAGTGGCTTCGCGCCCGGCACAACTTCATTTCATGGCCACAGTGCGCCTAGGCGGGAGCCCTTTGGCATTCTTGTTGCACTGGACATTCTTTCAAAACTCCATAGTAACTCCTACTGGGTTCGAGAATGGGACCCGAGGCAGCGTTCTATATCTTCAAATGCAGAGGGTTGACCAGGAACGAGGTTCATTCCTTTTGACCCCTCTTCTTCAACTGCAAAGCCGAGATGTTCTCAACGGCCATCTTAATGGGCAGGCACGGGATAAATGCAGGGCTTGGCCCTATTTGGTACCCATATCCATCAGTTAGCATGGTCTGCAAATGGTACAGTCATGGTGTTGGGTTTGCCTTAGGAATTTCCAGCCCAACAATCAACTCGAAGTCACTGATGATCACCACTGCAGGTTTGAATTTTCCTTCGTAAGGCCCCGCGTTCACCGGTACTTCTTTTAGCTATTACCAACCCCTGGCTGGGGAGGTGAGATTGGATAGCCTTGACGCTACCTTTACCTTTCCTAACAACTAGTCCAAGGCGATCCACCTGAGTCGAGGCTAAGTAGTTGCTGGTGCACCCGTGTCTATCATAGCCCGATGGCATTGCCATTCACCTTCATCTCGACAACATTAAGGTCCTCTCTTTGTTTAAGAGGCAGTCTCTTCATTCGCCTTCTTTTTCCCTTTCCTGGAGACGGGACATGAGTCCTTTTCTTTACGAAATACCAGCACTGTCTCCGCTAGTGCACATCAGAAATGGAACTCACAAATTGCATTGAAGGCACCTACTGGTTCAGTCTGGTCCGCATCGTCTGAGTCGTCATCAGTCCCTCATCAATAGCCTGGATGGCATTCATCTGGTGCCATGTGGGCACTCATTGTTCCAATGTGGACCGCCGCCAATGACGGCATCGCTGAAGGGGCTTCTCGCCCGGTCATTGTTTGTTGGAGTAGCACTGTGCTGCCGGAGGAAGGATCTTCTAGATTTGTTTGAGTTCCGCTCTCCCCCATTTTGCTAGACCACCAGCTGTGGGCTGGCCCCCTTTGAATCCTGCCGGGCAGTGGCTGAGGGCCTGTCCCTTCGAGCTCCATTGATAGTCCCGAGGCATTCAGCTGCTTGGATTTGCCTTGGGAGGGAATCTACCCTTTGTTCTCTGTATGCTCCACGCGGGCATTAAGCTTTCAACCCGTTCCATGAAGGTTGAAAGAGGTTGTCCTTATCCCCCATGTCGCGATATGCTGAGCATTGAGTGCGGGGAATTCTCGCACGAGTCCCGCACTGATTTTTGTTTGGCGAGCTCCCGTATGTTTTTCCTGCATTATATTCCCACTTACTGCGGGAGAACTGCAGGGTTATGGCTGCCTTCAGTTCGGCCATGTCTCGAGAGCTATCTCTCACCGGCCTGATGCTCGATACTCACACGCCACCAGAGTTTAGCGATCACCTGGGATACGATGGCAGCAGTTTGCTTACCTTCTTAGCTTCCTCCAGTCCCCAATAGCCATCAAATACTGTTCGACGTCAAAGATTGAAGTTTTCCACTTCCTTGGCATGTCCAGCTCCACTGTATGCTTTTGGGCTCAAGGAATTTTCAGCTCTTTGTCACGGAGCGGAGTTCACAGCACCTCGTTTGGTTTCCACCTCCTCGGAGTAGGCCTCTGTAAATGCAGAGTTGACAACATTGAGTTGGTCTGTCAATTTGTCAATGGTTTGTTGCATGGCAGTCACCTTTTCTGCCTCTTGTGCCCTGTGGGCTAAATCCTCGGTGCGCTCCTGCTGGAGCCCCTCGAATTTGTCAAAGATTTCGGCTGCCTCTGTGGCTGCCGTCTGCCGGTCTCCCTCGGAGTCGCGACTGATGTTTTCAACGTCAACTTCGACCCGAAGCACTCTGCGGTCCAGGTCGTCCAACCTTTGCAGTAGGCTGGTTCTTAGTTCAGGCACCGTATCCATGATAGGCCGCCATACCTCAACCGTCCCTTCGAAGGCCGCAATGCGGTCCCCATGATTTACCATGGTCAGAAGTGGTGGTATGTCAATACGTTCCCTCGTCCGATGTCGAGCCTGAGCTCTGATACCAACTGATACGCAGCGCCTTCCTGAGATTCCTTGGAAGGGCGACGTACGGCTAGGCAACTGATGTCAGTGCAGTTGCTGTCCGCCAACTGAGGTCCCCTCCGTACGCTAGACGAGATTGTCAGTGCCGTACGGGAAAACCAATATCAAGAGCAATTGAGAGAACAGAAATGAGAATTCAGAATGAAAGAAAGCTTGATTGCATTAATGAAAGCTATTACAGAAAAGCAACGCGGTGTCGAGGGGGAGAGACACCAGTACAGAGAATTGCTTGCTTGCTAGAAAGTTTTGATTGCTTGATCCCCCCTAATAGTACTTAAAAAAAATAATCCAAAGTTACAGGAGTAGACTTAGCTAGAGAAACATAATGGAAGTGCATGAAATAAAACTACTCTATATTTACAATGAAAATGACTTAGTTTTCTATAAGGCAGCAGCAGGTCCGTTGTCAGCAGCAGTGTCTTTGGCATCACGGTCTGCGCGCGCGGCGCTGTTGGCTTCTGCCTGCGGCTTGGCGCTCGCGAGGGATATCGGTGGGGCGACAGAGGCACCTGCGCGCTTGTCACTTGGCGCGGCCGAGACCACGGGGCCGTCCGTGGCGCTAGGCATTGGGAGGTTCGCTAGGACGCCACGGGGCGCGCCCAAGGGGTCATGGGGCATGGCTGGAAAGCCGCCCATGACAATTCACACACACAAACACACTTAGAGCCCGTTTGGATGGGTTTAATTTAAGTGGCTTTTAAGCCAAAATAGCTTTTAAGCCATAAGTTAGGAAATCTAGCTTTTGATTTTTGGCTTGTTTTTGTTATTTTAGATTAAAAATAAGTACTTAAAAGCACTTTTTTACTCTATCCAAACACTACAAAGTGGCTTAAAAATTATTTTGGCTTAATTAAAATAAGTCAATCCAAACGGGATCTTAGTCGGTTGTGCTCATTTAGGTCACAAGCAAGTTCTATAAATATCTACTGCAATTGGAAGGCCCATTCATTCGTTTCCTCCATAACTCTATAGTTATGGCGCTATATTTCACTCATCTTTATTTTCCTTTATCATTTCTAATTATCTGCCTATATGTGAATTCGACCTTTGCTGGAAAAGCTCACAACTTTTATCCCCTTTTTAAGGTTGATGCTGATGGCAGTATTCACAGGTATCAAGAGACCAAGTTTGTCCCTCCATCGTACAATCACAAAACAGGGGTCCAATCGAAAGATGTAACCATTCTGCCTGAACAAAACGTATCAGCACGTCTTTACCTTCCCAAAATCAGTGGAAAAAACAAAAAAGTTCCTCTCCTTTTATACATCCACGGCGGTGGCTTCTGTGTTCAGTCAGCATTTTCTCCTATGTATGATAGTTATCTCCACAAGCTAACGGCTGAGGCCAATGTAATCGCCGTATCAATTGATTACAGACTAGCGCCAGAACACCCAATTCCTTCATGTTATGATGATTCATGGGCTGTTATGAAATGGGTTGAGCAAAGGACAGAGACCTGGCTCAAACAACATGCCAATTTTTCACGAGTTTATTTGGCTGGTGATAGCGCTGGGGCAAATATTGCTCATAACATGATGGTTCGTGCAAGTGAGGAAAGTCATTTTCTGCCTTCCCTAGTTGGAATGGTACTGGTTGATCCCTATTTCGGCAATGATAAGCCTGATACACTTTGGACTTATTTATGCCCAAAAACCACAGGTATTTATGATCCAAGATTCAATCCAGCAGCTCATCCTAGGTTGCTGTCGAAGTTGAATTGCTCCAAGGTTTTAGTTTGTACCGCTGGCAAAGATTTTTTGAGAGAAAGGGCATGGACTTATTACGAGACGGTGAGAAAAAGTGGGTGGAAAGGTAAAGTGGGGATAAAGGAGATAGAAGGGGAGGGGCATGTCTTCCATTTATTTAACCAAACCTCCGAGAAAGCCAAGGTCTTGATGAAATCCCTGGTCGAATTCTTGGCCTAGTCCTATGATGATTCTTGGATACAAAATTGAATTAAGGATTTAGATTCAGTGAGTTTAGAACGAGTATAATCATATTTGTATACATTTTTATTTTTCCTTTTTGGGCATGTATACACAATTTTTACTAAAAGCAATGAGTTTAGTAAAATTCACAGAACATATCCTGGATTCGCCTATACTTGTGTCTCATAAAAGATATTAATGCAGTATACTATTATGTGTTGTTAATTTTCATTAATTAGAGATCACAGTTGTTTCGAGCTATTAATTTTGTGGTATCATGATTTTGTCCTAATGAGAAGTGATACCACTTGAAAAAGTAAGGAACGTAAGAAGCCAGGAGAATGTTGAAAATGTGAATAAGATAAATAGCGGTGCTACGTCTTGGATAGTGATGAGTGATTTTATTGGGTAAATATTACAACTGGTCGTTCAAAAATAGCCCAATTTCAAAAGTAATCGAAATTTAACCACTTTTTATATAAAGATAAATCTGAGCGAAAACACTGTTCAAAACCCGGAAAATACTCTAGTATAATATGCTGGAGTTCCAGCATAAGTATACTTGAACTCCAGCATATTATACTGGAGTTCCAGAATAAGTATGCTGGAACTCCAGCATAATATTACGGAGTTCCAGCATAAGTACACTAGAACTACAACATAATATACTGGAGTTCCAGCAAGTATATTGGTCCAGTATAATATAGAAAGAATTACAAGAAAATACGCATGACTTCACACCATAACAAAAAATGGCCAATGTTTTTAAGTTTTACCCCACCTAGCCCACATTGTACATATTTGAAAGCACTTGCAAATTCAAAATTTGTGTTTTTACAACCATTGCTTCTAAAAGCTATGGAGTTAATTCTTTGTTCTCACAACTATTGCTTTCACTCTCTCTTCTTCTCACATCTTCTACATATGCTTCAAAGGGCCGTGTATTTTCTGCTTCTCCTCTTGTGTCACCTGCTTGCAATGAAAGAAAATTGAAGAGTAGAAGTCCACCGTTGAAGACCATTCAAAGCTTTGCTTTTGAAAATGGGTTTTTTTGAATTTGTTAGTTGTTTGGATTGGGTATTATTTCAATTGATTGAAAATATCAAAAGGAGTTCAAAATTTAAATTTGAAGTAATTTCGAGTAGATTTGAGCAAGATTTGAGTTAAATTTCAGAAAAGACGCAACGAAGAAGACGAAATCAGTTTTTTGTATAATTAGGTATAATATTGTATATGAGTGTAGAAACACACCTTATACACTATTATACACTTTTATACACCTTTATACAAGCGTCTGTAAACGAACTTCTTCCACGATTTTCAGTTGCAATTCTTGTTCAAAACCAGTCCAAATCTCCATTAATTGACTTCAAATTTTATATACAACCTCCTTATACTATTTCTAACAAGTCTAAATAACACCCACTTCAAATTTCTCACAAAATCAAATTTGGAATTTAAACCCACATATTTAATCTTGTTAAAAATCTAATTTTCACCACCCAAATGAATTTGGTTTGTTGAATTAATATTTGACTCACAATTACTGATTCGAAAAATTAATTTAAAAGCTTGAGGAATCTTTTTTAAAAATTAAATAGTAATTTGGAGAACCTATTGGAATTGGATGTTGAATCTTAACCTATTATTTATGGGCTAGTTGGTTGTAAATTGAAATATGGGCTATAAAATTGAAAAGTATGGAGCCCAGTTGTGCTAATGTGAAACTTTCCCAATAATATACTGGAGTTTGGAGCACCGGTGCTCCAGTCTCCAGTATATTATACTGGAGCCAGCAAAGTATACCGGTCCAGCATAATATGCTGGAGTTCATACACAAGTGCACCGAAGTCCAGGATATTATGCTGGACCGGTCTCTATTGCAGCAAAATAGTGGCTATTTTTTATTGACTTGGTAAACGATGGCTATTTTTGATTGACCAGTCCGAAAACTGGCTATACCGTGTTCTTTTTACGATTTTATTTTGTGTCTCACACAACTTACACTAGTTGTGTGAGGCCTCTTTTTATCTCACATATTTGTGGACTCATATCTTACACATTTGGATCCACAAAATTCTGGGACCCACATAATTGTGAGACAAAAAAGAGCCTCACATAATTAGTGTTTGTTGTGTGAGGCATAAAATAAAATTTTTCCATAGTGATGTATGATACATTGACGTCCGTGGCAGTAGTTGATACTAACACAGTAACACTATTCAACATATCAACAACCACACTAAATAAATAATCACCTAACGACTTTCATGTGCGGAGAAGATATGACTTATGAGTATGAGTAATAGGTGGTGAAATTAATATTTACTCCATACCAGCTGTTAAATTAAGTAAATATAACTTCCATAATTTTTATATGGTAAAAGAAGATATGGATTGATATTTGATGCGGATGAATTGAATCATGTCCAGTTGGCAGCACTAGAAATTTATACAGGGGATTCAAGAAAAATTCTAGGATGTCACATATGAAATTTGAATCTATGACCTAAAATACTTTTGAACCCCTTTTACTATTATACTTGAATTTTTTTTCATCTCAAGGGAATATTACAGCTCACATACAATAAAAAGGGATCAATTTTACTCTATTCGCACATTGTAATTTTCCGACGAAGGGTTCCATTAAATCCTCTTAACTCTACTTAGTTCCGCCACTGATTATGTCCCAAGTACTATGAAAATAATAACCAAAAAGAGCATAAGGGAAAACATATACGACGACTAATAGGAAGTAGAACACTACTGTCACGGTCCGGAAATCCCACCTTCGGGGTCATGATGGCGCCTAACATTTCACTTGCTAGGCAAGCCAACGTTAGAGAAATTCTTACCAAATTTTAACCACTTTGAATAATTTAACCAAGTAAACCAAAATGAAGTACAAAACAAAATACGAAATAGCATAATAACCAAAATTCTAGTACATCCGGATCTGGAGTCACAAGTACACGAGCTTCTAGAGGTTCTACATATAAGGTCTGAAATAAATACAACTGTCTCGAATGAGATGAACAGTAAAATAAGGAAGGAGGAAGGGGACTTCAAGGTCTGCGGACGCCAGCAGATCTACCTCGAGTCTCCAAATGCTAATCCGAGCTGATACGCATCACAGACAGCTAGGACCAGTACCAAAATCTGCACAAGAAGTGCAGAGTGTAGTATGAGTACAACCGACCCAATGTACTCCGTAAGTGTCGAGCCTAACCTCGACGAGGTAGTGAGGAGGCTATGACAGGACACCCGCGTAATTAAACTTGTACAGACAAAAATATACATATAACATAACAACGAATAAAGATTTAACGTGTACTAATATGAGGGGACATGCGAAAAGGGTACAACATACGGTAACTACAGCAGCGAATGATAACATGAAATAGTCAATCAACCTTCAACAAATAAAACGAATAAATATAATGAATAAAACTACACGGCATCACTCTTCGTGCTTTTACTCTACGTCTCACCATGAAACAGTAATAACGGCGCGGCATCACCCTTCGTGCTTTGACTCTCAATCTCTCCATAACATGATAAATACGACACGACATCACCCTTCGCACAATTTCATCATGAATAAAAAAATACGGCACGACATCACCCGTCGTGCATTAACTCTCAATCACAGCACGGCATCACCCTTCGTACTTTAACACTCTCCCTTACCATGTAACAATGAACATATAACAACAGGGAGATAGAATAAACAAGAACAAGCATAACGTCAACAATGGTTCAACAATACCAACCTCGACTGCTGAAACAATACTCAATTATCACAGATAACCCATAAATGCAGAAAGAACGAACAATTTAGTAATTAACTAGTCTAAGCATGGATATCATGATCAAAGAAAATAATAAATTACAAGAAACAAGTCTCACCTGCATGCTTTAACCCAACAATAATGCATAAGTACTCGTCACCTCACATATACCTTGTACCCAACATTTAAACAAGTATCAAATAGGAAACAAGTCATAATCCCTCAAGTCAAGGTTAACCACGACACTTACCTCGCTCCAAAAATTGACTCAAAGCTCTACCAGGGCCTTTCCCCTAGAATCCGCCTCCAAACCACTCGTATCTAACCACATTTAACTCAATAATGTCAAATATTGCTAAAGGAATCAATTACAATGCATAAATTTAGGATTTCCACACTTTCCCAAAAAGTCAAAAAATCGACCCCGAGCCCGCTTGTTCAAAACCCGAGGTTCGGACTAAAATCCATTTACCCATTCACCCCCAGCCCGATTATGTAATTAGTTTCAGAATTCGACCTTAATTTGAAGTCTAAATCCCTAATTTGCAAAACTTCCCAATTCTAAGTTTTCTACCATGGAAGAACAAAGATTAGGGCTAGGAATTAATGAGTGGTGTTAGAAATAAAAGAAAATGAGTTAAAGTGTACAAATCTATGAATTGATGTTGAGTTTTCTCTTCAAAATCGCCTCCAGGCCGAGCTCTAATGGAAGGGTTATAAAAAATGAGGGAAATCTCGTTTTTGGAATGTTTAAATGAATGGGCGTCAGGCCTTCTTCGCATTCACAAAAGGCGACCCAAAAGGCCTACGCGTTCGCGAGTGTACCTACACGTTCGCGAAGGCTGCTCCCCCAGGCCTCCGCGTTCGTGAGCCAATGCTCGCGTTCGCGTAGAGTACATCTGCCCCCCCCCCCCCCCAGGTCCATAAAGCTACGCGTTCGCGAAGGGTAAAACCCCCAACTATCGCATTCGCGATGAAGAAAATCTCCCCTGTCCCAAACTCCCCTTCGCGTTCGCGAGAAGGGCTTCGCCATCGCGAAGCACATGGCACCAGAAACCAACAGAAGTCCCAACAATCAGATTTTTCTAAGTTTAAACCATCCGTAGCCTATCCGAAACTCACCCGAGCCCTCGGGGCTCCCAATCAAATATGCACACAAGTCCAAAAACATGATACGAACTCGCTTGTGCGATCCAAACACCAAAA